TGTTATTGTTGATATTCTTAGTTAGTATGTATATATATTCTCCTTCTAGTTATTATTAAGAGAAATAATACAAGTAGAAGATAATGATTTAATGGAAATATTCAATCAAATAAAAAAACTTGATTCTTTTCCTAATGCATATATTGCTTATAGAATAATGTTAACAATTCCTGTAACTATTGTCTCGGCCGAAAAAAGTTTTTCGAAACTAAAATTGATAAAATCTTATCTAAGATCAACAACGTGAGATTGAATGCATTAGCTATATTATCAAGGAAAAATTATAAAAATATACTACTTAAGACTTTTATTAACACTATATACACATACTTTTATTTAATTACAAACATAGTTTATAAATTACCTACATAGCAGATTAATTAATTTTTTATTTTAATTTAATTATTTAATTGCAATTTTCTTCTCTCCTTTTTTTGGGATTATGTGCCTTACTTATCTCCCCAATTAGAGTTCTTAATATAAACGTTTCTGTCTTTTCAGTTATTGTTTTATTTTCTTCCTTTTTATTCAATCAATGTAAAGTAAAAACTTTTTATGTTTCCAACAATTCACTCTTTTCTAAATTTTCATTGAGAGAAATTTTTAGCCATTGTCCTTCTCTCTTATGTTCATATTCATCGGTTAATCACTTGCACCATTTTTTTTATTTTCGCTTAAGTTCATCATTCAAGATTATATTTTCATAGTTCGGTTAAAATTTGAGGAGGAAGCCCAGAAAAAGTTCTAGGCTTAACAAATCAATTATAATTGTTGGTTGAAGATCCAATGACAATTGTTGATGAATCAATGTAGGTATATTGTATTTATTTAATAGTTTGGTACTATAAAATGTTTGGATTCTGATTATTGCTCTATTTTTTTTTATAGTGATTGTGGTTTGAATACTTGTGCTTTCACAGAGTTTGTTTGTTGAGGAGATATGAACATTTCAACGTCAATATTTTATGCTGCAAATTTTCATTGGAGATATGAAGCATTACTTTGAAACTACGAAAAGAGGAAGATTGACACTGGTAGGTACTGTTAGTGAAAGTGAATCACCTAAAAGTGGCGTTCAGTTGATTCGGAAAGGGAGGGATTGAAAAGAGCATGTTATGTTAAGAAAGAATTTTATAAAATATGGTTATTGAATTGTTGTTCTTTGTAAAATTAATATTTTCAATCAGTTTTGGTGTTTATTTTGTGTTGAATTAACTCACAAATACTTTAATTGGAATTTTTCATCAGATTTTGGTGCTTTTTTTGTATTTCGATATGTTTTGGTTCTTAGTTGTTTGTGTATTTATTGTCAAGTTTAATAGTTCATTGTGTGAGGTTAGTATATTATATCAACAATTCAACCATTTATATAATAGGCAGAACGGTAATGTATTTTCGATCAGTTTTGGTACCTATATTGTGTTTAATTAACTAAAAGATACTTTAATTGACATGTTCGGTCATTCTTGATTAGGTTTAGTGTTTTTATGTATTTTGATCAATTTAGGTTCTTAATTGTTTGTGTATATGATTTCAAGATATTGTGTTCATTGTTGTGTCAAACCACCTCTTTTAAGTTAATTAGTTGTATAGATATCATTGTATGAGGTTGGTATATTATACCAACAATTCAGCCATTAATATACTACCGTTACATTTTACACTAATATTACGCAGAATATTTCAGTTTGGTGCTTATATTGTGGTTAATTAACTGACAGATACATACAATTTTGTTTATGTATATTTTCTCAAAATGTGTCATTGTGCTATCAAAATATTTTGTTTAAGCTAATTAGTTGTTTTACATAATCATCATGCGAGGTTGATATATAATAACAACAATTTAGACATTATATATCACCAATTAATTTAAACACTATTATCAATATTACCAAGAAAATAACAATGTATTAAACCACTATATTATTACCAATGTTACAACAGTAATTACACCAATATTATGAACTGAGCCTTTGAACTAGCCAATCTATTTTAAATATTACGTAAATCATACAAATAATAGTTTGCGCAACAACTTTTTCACAAAATAAATAAATTATACAAACTATGAATTAGCCAATCAACATTAACCAATATTGTTTAAACTGCAATTAACATTCATTAAAAACATCTATATTTCAACAAAATCCAAAAGATTAAAATGTATACTTGTTTAAACAAAACAAAACCACCAATGTTAATTTGAGCCGCAAATTTGGGGCAAATTTTTTCGTTATACCCCGATGTACCACATTTATTATGAGTGACTTTACACCTTTTGAATTTTCCTTTGTTGAATCTCTTCTTACGATCGTTATTTGATGGTCTGCCTGATTGTTTTCTTGCAATTGGCGGTAACATTGTGTCTTCTATAACATGTGATGGAATATCCAAAGTGCTTTTGCAAGGCAATTGTTCAAATGAGATTGCACAAGTATCTTGATAATTCTTATTACTATATAGGTTGAACAGTAATCTTCACGATGTTGTTTCTAGTAGCAACTACATGACTACAAGGAATCTCATCATGCTGAAATCTTCCACAACTACACATTCGAGAATTTAGACATACAGTAATTCTTTTTGCACCATTTATAACTCTACGAAGATATTCTATTGATGCGCATACCTTCATTTGAAACCATACTAAATTAGTAATGATAAAAATTTAACATTTTATATTAATTACACCAGAAAGTAGATATATATAAACACGATAAAAGTTGCCGTTTATATATTTCAATTACACAAGAAAATACACTATCTAATATACAAATACATGAACCCAAAACACGTTAGTTGGTGGTTATACAACAAATCACATACACCATATAAAATACCAATAGATGAACCAAATAAATAACAAGTTAGTCGGTGTTTACATACATCACTTGCACCAGAAAAATACACTATCAATTACACCAAAATTACATTCAGAAAAATAAACTATCAATCACACCAAATCACACACTATCTAATATACCAATATATGGACCAAAAAATGAACACATTAGTTGGTGTTTACATACATCAATTACACCAGAAAATACACTATCTAATCTACCAATAGATGAACCAAAAAAATAACAAGTTATTTGGTTATTATATACGTCATAAAATATATAAATACACCAGATCGTAAATCAAAAAATAATAACGAAATTTGGTGTTGATTAAGAATCTATATACACTATCAATTACAGCAAATCAGCTACAACAAATACAATATCAATTACACCTAATCATCTACTAAAAAAGTATTCACGAAATTTTGGCATTAATACACCAATTTCGCCAATACACCAACAACAAATATAATATCAATTTTACCAATTAATATACAAAAATAAAATCACGAATTTCATTTTATAATCAATTAATACCATCACAATACACCAAAACAAATACAAAAAAATTATAACAACGTAACTTACGATATCAATACACAATCATATACAATTATAATTTGGGAATTGGGACCCGACTATAATTATTAACAAAGTAATTAAATCTTCTAATCAACCCCAATCCAATCACTCAAATTGTTTTTTTTCAGTGACATAAAATACACCATCATATACAATATTAATAGGTTTAGATTGCGGACTAAAATCCATTCATGATTTATTACACATACCTGATGGTCTTCGACATGCAGTCATATCATCCACATGAGCATGTTATAAAGGGTTAAATGAGAATGATGGGTTCAAAAGATTTTCTAATATAGAAATTTGGTCTTTTTGGAACAATAAAAAGGTAAAAAAAGCTTCATACAAAATAGAACACAACTACACAAGAGTAAACTATATAAAGTAATCTAGAAAATGATCAAAATGATCCTTCATGTATGGGCTTTGCTTCCATTTGGTCCTTAATATATGAGCTTGTGGAAATAATCCTTAATATATCACAAAATGTGATCATTTTGGTCTTCAAGGCCGCATTTTACATTTATGCCCTCCAATTTTGGGTGTGTGCACAAATAAACATTTAAACTTGTATAAATGTGAACAAGTAGACACTTGAGTCTTATGTGACATAATACACATAGATCACCACGTAGGACACAAATTGTCATGTACGATGCCATGTATGATGTGTGTCTATTTGTTCAACTTTATACAAGTTTAAATGTCTATTTGTGCACACCCAAAATTGGAGGGCATAAATGTGAAATGAGGTCAAGTTAAAGGACATTATTTATGTATTACGTTAATGTTTTCCTCAATAAATTATCTCACAAATTCAGTTAATATGGAATAGAGAAAGTAATACATATTCCTCTGGGAGATGACAAGAATAACGATATTACTCTGAGAGGCCAATGATCAAATCAGACCAAGGCTCGATACATCCGAAGAAATAGCCAGTGGCCAACATTAGCCATTCTCACTAGTGAAGCCAGACGTTTGGGCACTATGTACAATTCAAAGGTCTAAAATTCTTTCACCTTAGCAGTCCCCAAACTGGGGGATAGCTCATCCAGTGCCCAACCATCCGGCTTCACTCGTAAGATGATTGCATAACGGCTAATGCTTGGCGCTGGTTGTTCCTCTAGGCCAACGGAGTCCATTCGTTGGGTCCTAAATAGAATGCCTTTCAACAACATAAGGGAAGGGGGCAAGAATAAGTTTCTATTCAGCCTCCTCCAACTCCAGGCTTCTCTTCTCCTTATTACTCTCTCCATTTCAAAAAGAATGACTTTCTTTCCTTTTTAGTCTGTTTCAAAAAGAATGAGATCTTTCCTTTTTTGGTAATATTTTAATTTCAGCTTTCCACGTGGCATGTTTAAAGCCACAAGATTGAAGGGCAATTTAGTACATTTGACATAACTTTAATTTAGGACCACAAAATTCAAAAGTCTTCTTTATTTTCAAAAACTTCGTGTCAAGTCAAACCAGGTCACTCTTTGTAAAATGGAGGGAGTATTATGTTGGAGGTCTGTTAGTTTGAGAAACAAATCTGAACAAGTTCTACAACGATAAGGACACAAATTTCAAGTCTAAGACAAATTTGCTCTATTTTTCATAGTTGAGTAACAAATCAAATTTGATCATTCAAAATTTCAACTCTCAATTTGTAAGGAGTTTCTTGAACTAATTCTTTCCCTAGCTATGACAAAACTTTCAATTGTGACAAATCCCTATACAAATTTACATGAACCTTTAACTAGTATCACACATAAATACTATTATAATTTTAATCATGTATAAATAATATAATTTTTCAATGAAGGGATTTCGGATGAACCCCTTGGCCCTTCCTAGCTCCGTCCCTACTCAAACCTTTTTACCAACTGAAAACAGAAAGGAGATGGAAGATATTCTACTTCTCATATTCTCCAAAATTTCAGAAGCAGAGGGTCTGAGGCCTGGGAAATCACTTAGGCATAATGCTGCAACTGACACCATGGCCTTAGCTTCCTCCAATACGTAATTCCTATCGAGGCGTGGATCTATCATTTCCTCTACCTTAGACACATCGTTCAAAATCGCAGCAGCTTTCGATATTAACCTCTCCCCACTACCTGAGGAAAAGGCCTCAACCCCTGAAATGAGTTCTAAAATAATGACTCCAAAGCTATATATGTCGTTTTTCTTGGAGGCAATGCCGGTCCTCAAGTAGTGAGGATCAGTATAACCTGGAGAACCAAGTATCACTCGATTTTTCGTTAATGGTGAAACTGAAGAAGAAAATCCAATTTTCGCGGACCCAAAATCACAAAGCTTGCAATTGAATTGATCGTCTAGCAATATATTAGAGGACTTGATATCGCTATGCACAATTTGTGAAGGACATTTGTCATGAAGATACTCAATAGCTTGAGCAAGTTGAAATGCTACTGCCATTCGGTTTCTCCATGGAAGAATTGTCATATCTCTGTTTTCGTGGAGTTTGTCCTGTAGAGTACCATTTGAGACATACTCGAACACGAGCATGTTTCCAGATTCATCATTTTCACAATGATCAAGAAGTTTAACTATGTTGTCGTGTTTGATTTGAATCAAAATGTCTAATTCTTGCTTGTAGATTCTATTGAGACGCTCGCTGCTGCTGTCCATGATTTTGATAGCTCTGGGAGATGAATCAGGGAAATTAGCTAAATAGACTCTGCTAAATCCACCACAGGCAATTAAATTGGAATTGGAGAAATTCGCGGTGAATTTCTTCAACTCTTCACTTGTATGTCTCGTTGCATCAGCAATCATTGTGTTATCTGATTCATCTTCTTTATCGCCTTCTGCGAAAACACGGACATCAGTAAGTCCGGTGCGCCTTACGTTGTACCCAAAGCACCTAAGGAAAGCCATAATGGACACAAAAAACAACGTGTTTGTGTTATGTGAGATGGACGTTGGAATCTCTCGATCCTTAACTAGAAATCTCTGACTTCAAGCCTAAGAATGGAGAATTTCTTAGTAGAGAGCAACCACCACGAATCCAAATTAATCAGGCCAAACTACGAAAATCGAATAATTAATAAATGGAAATAAAACTCAAAGGCTTGGTGGGATGATGGTGGTTTGAATTAATCTCTCGATCCTTAATCAGAAGTCTCTGACTTCAAGCATGAGAAGGGAGAGTTTTCCCGGCCTACTATATGCGAATTCAAATTAATCGACCCACCGACAATGAAAATCGGATTGTGTATGATGGACACTCGAGTAGTGAATGATAAAGTTTTTAAGCTTGTGTTTAAAAAAAATGTTATTGTCAATATTGCTATCCACTGGCAGTGCGTGTGGGATATAAAAAGGGAAAGTGACGGTGGGTGAGTATAAGTATTTTAAGCGCTGAAGCTACTGGGAAAGAAGAATAGAACCCCACAAACAAATAAAAAAACATATAAAAAAATTAGAAGGGAAAGAGCATGGACTCAACCAAAAAGTTCACCGCCCACAGACAAATAAAACATTTCTATAACATAATTATAGCATTGTAAAAGAGAAGAAATTGTACTCATAAAGTACTCCCCATGTCCCAATTTATTTGACTAGGGACGTAGCGAGCTCAGGGCTAATGAGTTCATTCAAAATAAAATTCAATGAAAAATTCAATGAAAAATTATATGATTAAAATATTTTTCATGTATATATAATAGATGTGGAACTGTCATTCGGCTAGTTCATTTGTTTACTTCTTCAGATTTTGAACTCTCTTAGTGAAAATCTTGGCTACATCACTGTATATGACATAGTTCAGATTTGGAGAGTCAAAATTCTTTATTTTGATTAAATAATAACAATATACCAAGTGAAAAGTTCTTTATTTTGATTGTGAATTTATATATACAATCTTTAAGATTTTTGAAAAATAATTACATATTTAGAAACTGCCTTCAAAATAATATAAGTCCAATAATTAAAAAATAAAATATTTAAAAAAACTAAGAATAAATTGTAGTAAAACAATTTCTTGTTTGACTATCGGAATCTGATCTATATCATATAAATTGAGACAGAGGGAGTGATCCTACTAATCATTGCTTGTAAATTCAACTTAGTAGGAACATGAATAGTTTAATTAAATGTGTCAAGTTTTATATCATACCAGTGAACTTATCCGTGCTTTGCGCGGAGAAATAAAATATATCACCCGTCTTTTTTCTGAAATAATTTTTACTTCATTTAAAAATTAATTTTGACTATGAAAAATTCAAATTGCACCTCCATGTTTAGAATTTCAAATAAAATGTTATTTTGTCTTATTTGTGAAAAAATTATAACAAAACACAACTCTGATTTTAAAAATTTCTAGTAAAATGAAAAAAAAATAATTCTAATTTTATATGGCCAAATGCCCATCAAATTCATGATTTAGTTTTCGTTCTTTCTAATACTCGAATATTAAAATCATCAAAAAATATAATCAATTTTATTTTCAATAATTCTTTCAAACATATAATTTAAATAGAAGAAATTATAATATACATAAAAAGTCTTTTTCAAAACTAAGTTTTTAAATTCTAAACCAAAAGTTACATAAAACATTATCTATATTTTGTTTTAAGTAAATATGAAAAAATATGTATAAAAATAGCTTGTTAGCAGACCTTTGACTATATATTTCTTCACTAAGTTATCTATTTATTTAATTAGTCTTTGCTACTCAAGGAATAATTAAATGAAAACATGATATCAGGAAGTTTCTTTAAAAACACATCTCATTGTATATTCACAATTAATATAGGTTAGAATATAAACACAAAAATAAGTTCCATCCGTTTTTCTACTAAATAAAATAATGTTGATATTCATTTGGTGAGTAGGTATAAATATAATGGTATTCAATTTTTTTTAATCAAGTTATGAAGTTTTTTTAAGTTTTCAAGATTCTTAAATGCGTAAAGTAATACTAAAAGAAAATAATATGTTCAATCTATTTAAGAATTTATAGAAAAGGCTAATGGGCAAGATATATTTAACGCTTAATTTTTTCCTTCCAAAGACAATAGAAACATTAAATATCTTAATGAGTATGGAGCAAATGAAAAAACATTTAAGTCTTACAAAATATAACTATTCTAACAATTCCTATAATCATACTTAATTACCATGAATGCATGAACTAAGGAAATTCATATGCATAAAATTCTATATCTTCTTCTTTTTTCTCTCAATTGAATTTTATATTGAACTATGATTCTTTTAGATATTTAATTAGTTGAAATGTGAGTGTCATATATTTGTGGTGATTTTTTTTTCTTTTTCTTGTGTATATATATTTTTTTATTTCTAATAATTAATTTTATTAAGCACTATTAGTCTTTCAGTGAAATGTACTATATTGAATTAAGGAAATTATTTGCAGGTAAACAATAAAATTTATAGGTAGATATTTCAGGTATTTTTCTTTTGGATATTTTTTGTGATTATATCATCTAATTTTTAAGACTTTAATTGAGAATTTTTCATTCATTAAAATATATATAAAAATTAAATTACATCTACAATTATATATTATAATAAAGCTAAAAAATGCATAACAACTTAATTTCCCCTTTGTGTTCACTACATGATATTTTGATTTATACTATACTAAAGCAAAAAATGTATAACAACTGAACTTCTTTTTGTGTCACTGTATGATATTTTTGATTTATTCAAAGAATTTTATTCCTTAGAACGAATATGATATACGTCAAACCTCAATGTCTGATTATTATGCAAAGAGATCAATGAATATTGGAATGAAATTAATCTAAAAATAAATATTATGAATAAAATATATAAAGAAGACAAAATATATCAAAAGATGTGAAGGTAGGCATACAAGTATCTTAAGTTAGGCATACAAGTATCAATACATTTTATTTTTGTGAAAGATAAAATACAATTAGATATAACATTTTAACTTTTCAAGAATGAAAAGATGTAGTAAAACAAAACTAAAAAGAGTAATAATATAAGTGAGAAAATAGACAAGAAAATGTAGAGAGACAAGAGAGAATTTTCTTGTTCTTCCAAGAATATTCTAGTGTTTTCTAAATCTTCAAGTGCATAACACAACCTCAAGACCTCTATTTATATTGTTATAAGAGGCATACAAAAAGATAGCAATAAACATGATATTAATTATTGAGAATGTGGGGAAGATTAAAGGGTGTGGAAGATAAATGAGGAGATGGTGGAGGTGTGAGTATTATTACACATAATGGTGAAATTATATCTTGAAGTTATGGACATCCACATTAATCAACAAAACATTAATTATACAAATAATAATTATATTAAAAATGAGGAGAAAAATTAAAAAATGTCCAAAAAATAAATAGGAATGAAGGCCATAGAGAGGTGCCACATCACCTCATCCATATTTCTCCTTTATATATATATGATTCATGAAGTTGAACATAGAAATACAAGAGTTGTACTCCTAAATCCTAATTCTATCCCATAACACGGTGGTTTCGTCAAAACATGAAATTTAAAATGTTCGTTAGACTTTACAATTTTTTTATATTTAAATATAAGGTGAACATAAGCTAAAAAGGAACATGAATAAAATACCACAATCTACTTTATACCAAACCATTTGTTTTGTACCCTACCTACAACAAGTTATGTCAAATGGCAAATAAGCATGTTTTACATATAGAAAATGACTAATTATTTTTGAATGGTGGATTAAAGAACACAGACAAACTGAGACCATTAATAGAAAGTGATAGTGAAAGCAAAATAAAATACCGTCGGTTGGTCAAATTTTATTTCAATTTTTCATGTTTGATTGGTCAAAATTTTGGAAAAAAAAAATCTTAGGAAAAACAAGTTTTTAAAAAGTAAGTAGTACTTTTAAGTTCCTCAAAATTATCTTTTTAAAAAAAAACTAATTATTATATTTTTACATTTAAAGATTAATGATTTTTCAGCTTATTTATGATTTATATTTTGAAATGATGTTCAAATATTTTTTATCTATCAACTTTGAGTAGTACTTAAATAAATTGGAGTAAATATGATGGTATATGGATCAAAGTTTGTTTTCAATTAATTTTTGTATTGTTGATTGAATGAGCTAAAAAGAGAAAATATGGAGATGAAAATAATAAGGACAAGAAATTGGTGAAAAAATCCTTCTTATCTTTGGCAACCAAATAAGAATTCTAAACAAACTCCTATAATTAATTTAGAGTTCAAGTTATCATATAATACTCTTTTATTATTATTATTATTATTATTATTTAAATATTAATAATAAGTGAATATATTAAGAGAAATAAGTATTTCTAAAAATGAACTGAATGTGTACTAGATAGAGTCGTCAATATGGGTTAGGCCCGTTGGGCCGGCCTGGCCTAACCCGTGATTTGATAGGGCTGGGATATGATTTTTAGAGCCCATTTAAGAAAAAAGTTTTTTAGCCCGGCCTGAATAAGCCTTCCGATTTGTGGGGCTTGAGAAATATGGATAGGGCCTACCCGTGGGCTAAATAAAAATTAATTAAAAAATAAAATAGAATGTGAGTATTAAAAATAACA